CTTCCTATCGCTTGATTGCTAAACGCACAAATGTCCCAAAATCTACAGTCATAGATATTATAACCAAGTTCAAGACTACTCAAAGCTTCGAAATAAAACTTGAAGTGGAAGAAAAAAAACTTTCCATAAATCCAAAAAGGTAAAGACGATTTTACGTTCAATAGCAAGAAATCCAAACCAGTCACAGCGAGATCTAGCATAAAAAAATTCAAGACTTCTTGTTCTTATATCAAAAAAGTACTTAAAAATGCTGGAATTAAAGCATTTCATAAAAAAATACACCTAAGAGAAGCTTAAATTGTGAAATTAAAGGAATTCGACGTGCAAAGAAGTTGGTTAAAATAATGGCGGATAAAAATATGTGCATAATTGAAGACGACAAAGCGTATTGCAGGGCGGATTTTTCACAACTTCCTGGTCAACAGTTTTATATGAAAACAATGAAAACAACTATGATATTATATGAAAACTATGAAAACAAAGATAAACCTGCCGATGATCAATTTAAATATATTCGAAGAGAAAAATTTGCATCCAAGTTCCTTGTGTGGCAAATGGTATGCAGTCCTCTTGTTTTCTCACTAAAAAGACCTTGACTGCCAATCTCTACATCAAAGAATGTCTCCAAAAATGACTTTTGCCTTTTATAAAAAAACACATATACCGATGTCTCTTTTGGCCTAATCTTGCTGCCTCTCACTATTCTAAAAAAGTTTTACAGTGGTGCAAAAATAATAATATGAAAATTGTTCTTAAAGATGCGAATCCTCCAAATCGTCCTGAAGAGCGCAAGGTTGAAGATTTTTGGGCAATAGTTAAAGGAGTTCTTCGTAAGACAGGTTGAATAACAAATAATAAAAAGGACTTCCAAAAAAAGTGGATTAATGCCACCAATATGGTGAAAAAAGAAAAAATCTGTTAAATGATGACATCAACCCGCTATAAAGTTCGATTTCTTGCCAAACAACCCATCAAACCCCTTAAAATTAAGTTGAAACTCTAATTTATGTAAACACATTTAATAATAAAAAAAATTGAAATAAAAAGCATTCATGGTTTTAGAGAAATCTCAATTTAAAGTTGACCGGATTTTTCCGTGTCCACCCGATACAGTCAAAGTCTAATCTTTTTTTTTTTTTGCTTTTCAATTCCCTTAAATTTTTAATTTCCATAACATAACTTTTGAATAATTAGCGCATATTATCAATTATTTAGCAATAAATTACAAAAATATATATATAATACCACAGTTATAAAAAAAAAAAAAAAAGTTAGCAAGAACAGTATTTTGCTTAGTTTACAATTGCAAGCTAAAGTGGCCGTTAGTTTCATCGAAATAATTTTATTGTTGTGGTTCTTTATAATTTTTGCTATGTTGCTGGTACAGCTGTAGCTGACTTTTGTTGTATTATGTTTAAATAGTTTATGGAGCGAATTTGGATTTGGAAAGTACTTGCTGATTAATTGCAAGAAAGTTTTGCCTATATTTGTGAGAACATTTTTATTGTATGGTGGGTTAAACCAGATTTTATTTCTTTTTCTTTTACGATTGGGGGTTACTTTGGTATCAATTTTAGGGTTGTATTTAAAGCTAAAATCTTTGAACCCATTTCTTTTTAAGGCTTCGTTGTATTCTGCCTTGGCCGAGTTAAATATTTTTTCATCAGAAGAATTCTGGAATAACCTATCGGTGATAGCATATATATATATATTTATATATATATATATATATATATATATATATATATATATATATATATATAAATATATATATATATAAATATATATATATATATATATATATATATACATATACATATATTATTATTAATTTTTTATTAATTATTTTATTGCTAAGTTACCTCTATATACTTAAAATCAAAATATTACTTAGTTAACTCATCTTATATATTCCATTTATGACTATAATATAAAGTTTCTCTTTTTAACGTTGTTTAAAATGTTACTATAAAAAGATAGTATATATACATACTATATACATTAAAAATATATTAAAAAAATAAATTGACATCTAAAAACCTAATCCTTTAAATCTTATGCTTTAAAACTTATATCTTTTAGTTTGCTGTTTTACTGTTTGCATTATATCTATATGCTTAGAAACTTCTAATAGACTTTTATGTAAATCATAAATATTAATTTAAAAAATATGGCATTAAAACAATCCTGCAAACTATGCCAAAAAAATGTATCCTAAAACCATAGAGCCATCAAATAAGACTGCTGCTATTTTTGGATTCACACAAAGTGCCATCTAATCAATAAGCATACATATAACTCCAATGACTCCTTAAAATGATATTGCTCTGACTGTATTTCCAAAAATATACTACTTGGTAGCCTTTCCGATAAAGAACTTAAGCATAAAATTTCATGCAAGAATCTTCCACTAAAGTTATTAAAATCTCTTGAATCTACTGCTCGCCTAAAAAGTCTATATAGAGATATGAACAATATTCATAATCCAACTATTAAATGTAAATACCTTGATATTACTTAATTCAATAATTTCTTAAATCCTATAAAAATTCTATAAGACTCAAACATAACTGATATTACCATAAATGGATTTAACACTGAAGATTAACTTACTGAGTCAAAAAATGGTGGGGCTCTTCTGTATCTAAGCTTTAATCTTAACTTTGTAGTTCGTGATGATCTCACAATCTATACCTCAAAATTTTTTGAATCAGTTTTTGTTGAAGCTATTAATCTTCTTAAAACCAATACTTTAATTGGCTACATATATCGTCTCTTAACTTTAAATCCAAAAGAATTCATTACAAACCATTTCACTCCTTTACTTGAGAAATTAAGTTATAAAAAAATATATATATATTAATGGGTGATTTTAAAATGGACTTAACTAATTATAAAAAATCTCCCATTTTTTTTAATCATTTTCAAATATTATACTCTTACTGGCTTTTTCCCACCATTATTCTTCCAACATGTATAACTTCAAAAACCAATACTTTCATTGATAATATTTTCATAAACTCCTATTCTCCTGAAATAACCTCTAGCAATCTAACAATTTCTATTTAAGATCACATGGTCCAGTTCCTCCGTATTCCTGGTATTACCCACACAAAAAAAAAGAATATAAAAATAAAAAAGATGCTTCAAAAACTTTGATACAACTTTATGCAAGATATATATAGTATGAACTGGGAGGTACAAATAAAAGACAAGGATATTATTGAATCAATAAGTTTTTTAAATACATTTGAAAAATTTCTGGACAGACATACTTCCTACAAAGTTTTAACAAAAAAAAAAAACTAAACTTAAATCTAAACCATGAATAACCGCTGGTATTCTTAAATAAATCTCAACCAAAAATGTCATTTCTAAAAAACTTGTTAAATCAAACAATATCAATACAAGAAATCTTCTCTTTGATGAATTCAAGTTATATAGAAACAAAATAAGCAACTTAAACAATACAAAAAATGTATTACATGACTAAGCAAATCTACTCAAGTGGCTTCTTTCCAATAAATTATCACTTAATTCCAAAAAAACTGAAATTATTATCTTTAAATCAAGTCAAACAAAAATATTATTATTGTTATTATTATTAATAAAATTGTTATTTTTATAGTTACTATTATTATTTCTATTTTATTTTTATTGCTATTACCAATAACTGGAGTTTTTTTTTATTATTATTGTCTATTATTATCACTGATACTTATATTACTATATTATTTATAATGTTGTTACTTTATATTATTATAATCTACTTCTCTTTTATTGCTATATTTTAATTAGGTATATAAAAGTCTTATATGTTAGATATATGTATAAAAGTAAATTGAATAAGTATATTTTGTTTTAAATATATCAAACTTCTTACTTTATTATTATTACATAAATTTATTTGTTTAAGTATTTTTAGTTTTTCAATGTGTTTACTTAAAATTAGTACTTGTACTATATGTAAATATTCCATGAAATGTAAAATCTATTTCAGAATATTTTTACTTGATTTGAATCAGAATCATAATGATCATCTTGTTACTTGAAAAATGTAATTAAGCACAACCTGCTACATAACTTGGATGACTAATTTTATAAAATAAAAGAAAAAAAAAATAAAAGAAAATAAAAAAAGACAGGAGAAGTTAACTAAAACTTAAAATACTACTTTGGGGGTCTTGGTTGAATAGACTAGAGTAGGTGTCTCAAAATAAAAAATAAACATCTTGGGGATATGTAAACTGCATCCAGGTATACTCTTAAAGAAGGCCTCTTAGAAAAAGATTTAAGATATAATCTAAAAATTTACGTTGACCATAACATATTTGTGTTACATTGATTCCTGCCTAGGATGATAAAAGCTGGATCTTTTTCACTTAATTGTTTTATGGGTTTTTGCTTTTGCCACTTTGATAGTGGCTATGCAATTCTTGGTGTTACATCCTAATTAAGATACAGCTCTAAAAATCAGTATATAAATATATATATGTATATGTATATATATATATATACATATATATGTATATATATATATATATATATATATATATATATATATATATATATATATATATATATATATATATATGTATATATATATAAAAATATATATATATGTGTATATATATATATATATATATATATATATATATATATATATGTATATATATTGTATATATATATATATATATATATATATATATATATATATATATATATATATTTATATATATATATATATATATTTATATATATATATATATATATATATATATATATATATATATATATATATATATATATATATATATATTGCATATATATATATATATATATATTGTGTGTATATATATATATATATATATATATATATATATATATATATATATATATATATATATATATATATATATATTATATATATATATATATATATATATATATATATAATTTGATTATTATGGATCACAATGCTTCACAAATAAAGCTTTAACCTGTATTAAGTGTATTCAAAACAGATTTTTCCACAGCACCAGTTACTAAAAAAATTAAAGCAAATTTGCTAATATTATACGAAACAAAAAGAAGTTTGAACTTACAAAATAGTTTTTTTGAAAAAACATTATGTAAATGTTAAAACCCTAATATAATATAACCCCTAATCCTGATAAATATAAATTTGAAGAAGGCTAATGCCCCTCGACAGAAAACCTGTCCCTTTTTCCTTTTTTTATATATTTTTCAAAATTAAATCTGCAAAAACTTTTAACTTTGTAGATGTATTTTTAAAACAAAGAACAAATTTTCTCAACTATAAATGATACGCAAGTCAAAAGAGAAATAATAAAAATAGTATAAATATCAGAAAGATGAAATATAGTTTTAAAAAAACACCTGATGAATGTATACTCTCAACAGAATCATGCTTTTTCAAATTTAATGCCATGTGTTCATTTTTCTCTAAAACAAAGAACAAACTTTTATTATATACTGATACAAACACAATCACACACACGCAAACATATAAACCCTCGGAATTTGGGTCGGCATTCGGCAGTGCCAATCTAACAGCTGATCTAGAAGTGTTTTAGGTCAGCAAAAAAATTGCTGATCTCATTTTTATGTTTTATGGTCAAACCTTTGTTTTTACATTTTTTCTGCCAACCTCACACAGAATAAGGACGGCAAATTATAGCTGACCTTATTTTTTCTAATTCCGAGGGCTGCATATATATACATAAATACATATATAAAGTATGCAAAAAAAATAGTCATACACTTAAAAAAAAATCATAATTTTAAAGATTGCATCAAAAAAATAAATGGTCCGTTATAATATTCAAAAAAAAAATTTAATATCTTATCAAGTATTGTTTTAAGAATTTGTTTGCATATTGGTGAATTAATTGCTTCTCAAACCTATTGAATTTTACACAATTGATCTAATGATGCATAAAATTTACTGCAAAAAAAATAATTATACAGTTCAAAAAGAATGTCAAATTGATCAAATTCCATAGAAATCACTATTGAGTGGGGCCTCCTTTAGCTTTGATGGCCTTAACTAGACAATTTGGCAATGAGTTGACCAAATTTTGGGTCTCTTCTGCAGTTATATTATCCCATGCGCTTCTTTAAAATTGTCTTTGCATCTAAATGCTCAGTCGCCAATTTTTCTATCCAAAATATACCACAAATTTTCTATTTGATTCAAGTCCAGACTTTAAAATGGCCATTCCAAAACATTGATTTTATCTATGTCAAAGTATACCTTCGTTTTCTTAGCGGTATGTTTAGGATTGATATCCTGCTGGAATATAAAATTGCTTCCCATTCTAAATTTTTAAGTATATGGTTTCAAATTGGCTTGGAGAATTTCATAATCCATTGAAGCATCCATTTAGTCATTAATAAATGTAAATTTCCCCACTCCTTTTCAACTAATACTATCCCAAACCATCACATTTCCTCTTCCATGCATTACAATACCTCACAAACCACTCAATTTATAAGCTTCTCATTTTTTTTCGCTACACCTTTTGGACTCTATTCAATGAGACAAAATTGTATTTTGACTCATTTTACTACAAAACATTTTTCCAATATGATATCAGTATTTTTAAGTACTTTTATGCAAATTCCAGTCAACTTTTCATTTGTTTAGAAGTTAAAAAAGGTTTATTTCGAATCACTCTATTCTCTATATCCTTGTTCTCTTATACAATTTCTGATTGTTTGAGGAGTCATTGTAACGTTATAACCTTCTTGAATTTGTAAAGCTAATTTAGCTGCCAAAACAAATTTATTTTTCTTCACATTAATGATGACATTAATGATATTTTGATCAATTGCACTAGTGGATTTGCGTTTTCGTTCTCTAACAACCACACTAGCAACGGTTCCAATCAGATAATGCTTCTTAACAATTGAAAAAAATGAAGTTATGCTTTAACACAAATAACATCAATGTTTTGGAATCTCAAAGCCCGGACTTCAATCCAATACAAAATTGGTGGTATTTTTTGAACAGAAAAATTGGCAAACGAGCATTTAGATACAATGACAACTTGAAAGAAGCTATAATGAGGAATGGGATAATATAACAGCAGAAGGGACCCAAAATTTGGTCAACTCAATATCGAACCATCTAGATGAGGCCATCAAGGCTAAAAGAGTCCCCACTTAATACTAATTTCCATGGAACTTGATCAATTTGACATTCTTTTTGAACTATACGATTATTTTTTTTGCAGTCAATTTTATGCATCATTAGATCAATTGAGTAAAATTTAATAATTTAATAAAATTTAATGAAGTTTTGAAAAGCAATTAGTTCACTAATACACATATAAGTTCTAAAAACAATTGATAAGATATCAAAAAAAACTTTTAAATATTCTAACAGACAACTCATTTTTTTGATCTTTAAAACCATGATTTTTTTTTAAGTGCATGATTATTTTTTTTGCACACTGTATATATATATATATATATATATATATATATATATATATATATATATATATATATATATATATATATATATATATATATATATATATATATATATAGAGAGAGAGAGAGAGAGAGAGAGAGAGAGAGAGAAAAGTATAAAGAAGACCAAGGAAAATGGTATGTAAACTTAAATAAGGCATTTTAGGAGTAAGTCATAAAACTCTGGATTCCATTGAACTAGTTTTTTTTGTTATGATGATAAATTTTAGTCGTTGTTTGTTTTTAGGCTGGCATGTGTGATTTTAAAAATTCATCTTTGTTTGCTATTTAAATTAAAATAAAAAACATTTTATATAAATATTAGACAAAATTATTTAAAAAAAACATCAAAACAATCGTTTCATTTAAAGTCTAGATAAAGCAAGTGGAATAAAATTGGTTTTGATTTATATTTCTGCTTGTAATGTTTATTTTGCAGTTTAATGTCAGAAAACTTAAAAATAATCAGTGATTTTCATAAAGAAAAAATTATTAATCTAGTCCATAACACTATCAATATCAGACTCAAACATATAGTTCATTTGACTGCAATCTCTCATTCTCCTCCGGATTGTTATCGTCATGATTGATGTAACCATCATATTTGTTTGTGCAAAAGTATGTGCAAATTACACCAGTTTTATTAAATGTACATTTTTTTAGTAAATCAATCATTACAGCAGGCAATTCTATCCAAAATATGGCAACCGAACCTTGATCATCAATTCATTTTTGAAAAGGCTAAGAAAAATTTCAACTAAGTATCCTAAGGAAACAAAAATACCAAGATCTAGAACTTTGGTTACAATTTAATACTTTAAAAAAAGTTGATTAAGAAAAAATCTATTTTTGTTTAATAGAAACCACCCTAGTTAAAATTATAGGATGGTTTCTAATTATTAAGATCATAAAAATTTGGGAATTTTTTGGGGATTAAATCAGTTTGCTTAGTTCTTCAAAATACATTTCTCAAAATTTCATTACTAAATATGTACATCAAACATCTGTTGTTGTTTTGTTTTTTTTAACAGCTTTTTCTGAAACAGATGCCAGCCAATAAACTTAAAAAAATTTAAAGAAAATATCTTTTATCTCAGAAAAGTTTTCTACATAAAAAAAAAAGCAAAAAACTCTTGATATTATTATTTATATATAATTTTTATAATATATATAACTATAATAATTTTTTATAATGATCCTTATAATTTATATTTGATTTAATTTGGAGTAAGTAATTGAAGAACAGCTAATGAAATTATTTGAAATATTAATACTAGACATTATTTAATAACAGACAATACTGATAAAATGATTTGCTGAAGCAATAAATGTAAACAATTTTTTTTCTAAATATTACCCAAAATAGATTTAAAAAAAATTTCAATATTTAAAATAAATAAAAAATAAAGTTTTATGTTGTTTTTCTTGTGAAAAAAAAAAACAAGAACCAAACAACAATTCATATCTTATTATAGATCAAAAAAATAAAGTTTTAACCTTTGTCTTGTATATTAGAAACAGAATTCTCCACAGCACCTGTAACTGTGCTTGCTCCTGAAACTAAATTAATTAAAAGAAAACTTTATATAAATGATATCACTAAACCTGATAAATCTAAATGTGATGGACACTGGACAAACGCCCCTCAACAGAAAACCTGTTAAAAACTCCAGAAATGAAATTTATTTTTGCAACTTTTTTTTTAATGAAGAATAAAGTTTTTAAACTATAAATGATATACAAGTCAAAAAAGAAATAATAAAAATAACATAAATCAAGCTAGAAATATAGTTATAAAAAATGTTTAAATAAATAAAAATGAAACATAATATAGTTTTGAAAAAACACCTGATGAATGTATACTCTCAACAGAATCATGCCTTTTTAGATTTAAAACACTGTGTTCATTTTTCTCTGAAATAAAAAAATTACTATACACTTATATATGTATATATATATATATATATATATATATATATATATATATATATATATATATATATATATATATATATATATATATATATATATATAGTGAAAACTAAATCATTATTAAGATATATATATATATAATAAGATATTAAGATATATATATATATATATATATATATATATATATATATCAGGCCTTGTGTTGAAGCAGAAACGATCGCTCAACGCACTTGAAACACACCTTTTAACATGGTCTTCCCGAAGTGACTAATACTGCTCGCTAATTTCGTTACAAGAGTAAAAAATTTGTCTAAAGAACTTGCAAGCAAGAATATAATAGATTAATTTTATAGAAAATATTTTCAGTAAAATTTTTTTCACTGAAATCAAAATAACAGTAGAGTTTGCACATTGCTAAATAATACTTGAATAAAACCAAAGAAGTTAAATTTGTTATAAAGTATGTCACGCATAAATTAAAATTAAAAATCTCAGTGCAAGAGAGCCAATAATTTATTTCTTCTATTTGAAAGTTAAATTCATCATGACATTTTTTTTTTGATTCTCCTTGAACTTTATCATATTATCTTTTAATCATACCCTGGTTAAGTTAATCATACCCTGGTTAAACCATTTGCTAACTCGCACAGTTTTTTGGTTCCATTTGACAAAAAACTTCACCTAACTAGGACTTTTATTTTGAATTGCATAAAAGTCATCATGTAATAAAGTATCCAATTTTGCAACACATCAATAAAAATTCTAAACTTTGAATGCTTAAAAATAATATATTTAACATAATATTTTATTTACAACAATTTATTAAACTAAAATTTCATTAATAGCTCTGATTGCATACAGTTTCGATCACATTCTATTTATTAATAATTATTACATTTAAAATTCAAAAACATCTAATAAAATTCAAAACATTAAAATATCAAATGCATTTGTGTTAATGCTAAACAAAACTAAATATTGGAACTATAACAGAAAAATTCAAAATATAAATCTCTTCTCAGAGTTTCTTCAGAGAAAAATAATTCATTTGATAATACTTAATATAAACTGTGCGTTCAGTTTAAATTAAAAACTTTTTTTTTGTTTTGTACAAACAATCAATGGAAAGATATGAAGTCATTACTGCTAACAGATAGATTGGAATGTTTACTACTTTCAAAATGTGTTCGTCCAAATGAGAATAGAATATTTAAATTATAAAACTAAAATTTCATAGAATTTTGAAAAATCAAAAGTTTTATACTGCAAGTTTAAAAAGTGAGATAAGAAAACTAAAACTTTAAAAAATTATGCATTAAACATTTTTAACGAGTTACTAAAATTTTTGTAATAACTTACTTTAGTAATAAGTTAGATAAAAATCTATAAATGAATTTTTTTTTTAATTTAATTCTTAAAATGCATACTTTTTAAATAATAATTCAAATGTGAAAACTGGATTTAAAATAAATTTTAAATTTTTGACAACGGCTACAAAATAAATAGAACTACGCTATACTTCATTGCTTTTATATAATATCAAAGCCACAGTAGCATTCAGCTCCAGTAGACAGACTAATGGGTTAATGAAAAAACCAAAGCTTTTTCGTCTGGCTTACCGGACTTCACATGAAAAAAATTCAAACAAAAAATTATCCACGTTTTCCCTTGTACCCACTGGTATGCTTTTGGGTGACACCTACCTCCCTCCCATACCTGCATACATAATTTATGGATGACCTATGAGAGCCATTTTTCAGCCCTGAATATCATCCTTGAAGACTGGATGCCGAGCGTACATAATCACACTTGTTAATAACGTGTTTCAGTTTTACAAGTGCAAAATTTAGAAATGCCATTCTTTAACACAATCAAGCACTATTTAGAAATGCCATTCTTTAACGCATACTTGTTCATACCATAAGTAAACAAAAAATTACAAAAACTAATAATGGTACAATTACAAAGTAATTTATATTACTCTAAAAAATAAAAATACTAAATTTATATTAAATATTTTCTTTCTTGTAAATTATTTAATTTACAAGTCAATTTTTAGAATAAAATAGGATAAACAAGGCATTTTTAGTGACTTAGTTCATGAGTCTAATGAGTGTCATTACTGAATTCATAGAACAAATATCTATTGGATTTCTAAATTTTAGGAAGCCCTTACTTTTCACAAAAAATGGTAAATCAGTATAATTTCAACTGATAATGTTCAAAGAACCAAAATTTATTATTTTAGTTAAAACAAATAAAACAAAGTTTAACCAATTTTAGAACACAAGGATAATGCCTTTTATGTGCAGATGATTTTATATAGAATAATAAACATTTTTATCTTTAACATAAACATCAATAAAATCCAAAAACACCCTCTAACCTTTATCAGGTGAACTTTCAGCAAAAAATGAACTTTCAGCAGCACAAGAGGTAGAAACTAAATGTTTTTAAATTACCAATTATTAATACAAGTTTAAGAAGCAAAAAATTACTTTTATAATTGTGTGTACATATATAACAATATACATGATACATACATACATACATACATACATACATACATACATACATACATACATACATACATACATACATACATACATACATACATACATACATACATACATACATACATACATAAATACATACATACATACATACATACATACATACATACATACATACATACATACATACATACATACATACATACATACATACATACATACATACATACATACATACATACATACATACATACATACATACATAACTGTAAAATACCTGATGAAAACACACTTTCTTCAGAACCATGTTTTTTTAGATTTGATACAGAAAATACATTTTTATTTTCTAAAATGAAATACAAATAAATGTTGTACTGACGATTTACTTTGTATGAAAGGGGTACCAAGTTTAAAACCCAGCACACCCCTGGTAGTACAAAGCTTATTGTTTTTGAGCTTGATACAGCCAGGAATATAGTAACAAGTTAAAAGAAAATACAAAAGGTCATAACAATAATTTAAAAAAATAGTCTCCTTGATTGTAATGATCCCTTAACAAATAATAGATGAATACAGCAAAAAGTTTAAAAAATGAAATCAAGTAAATAAATTATGATAATTGACATTTTATAATTATGCAAACTATACATTTAAGTAAAACTTTATAATTTTAGAATCTAAAAGATTTACTAGCTACGAATTAAAAAAAAAAATGCTTAAACAATAAATTACCATCCACACAAGGACTTTTATTTTCATTTTGAATTGATTTTTTATTAGAGCAGCCTTCTTTTTCAAAAATATTACATTGCGATGCAAAGGAGGTTGCAACAGAAACAAAACCTTTCAGAAAAAAAAAAATGAACATTTTTATAATAACTTTTAACACTGCCCAACATTGATATCATGATAAATTTTTTTGTGTATTTTTTTTTTAACAAAAAATACACAAAATTGAAAAATAAAAATTAAATTGACAAATAAAAAAATTGAAAAATAAAAATTAAATTGACATTTGATTATTTAGACACAAAATTTCTTCTATGATTAAAATGCTTCTAGTGCTCCAACAATTTACTGATTAGTTCAGCAGTTTTGGCAACAAGGAGTGTCTGTACATTTTCCTGTAAACTGGAAAATCTTCTGCAAGCTGGAAAACCGAGGAAACCGTTCAAAATGAGGAAAGTTCAAATTCCATCAAATATTGGAAAAACCCCAAAACTTACAGCATTTCTTTTTTCTCAGCATATGGTGATGTCTAAGTGGTCTTTGCAAAGAATTTTACATAAGTTACACCTTTTCCCAAACAAGATTTAACTGGTTTACAATTTAAACTAGGGATGTACCGAAGGCATGTCGAAGCTTCGGGACTTTTGCCGAAGCCGAAGCTGAAGCCAGGGTCAGTTTTTGCTGAAGCATTGGCTTCAGCAAGTCTTTTTAGGTAATTAAAAATAATAAGCTACTGTTATATAAAACATAGAATAATTTTATTGTTTACAATATAATTACTTTAAATTACAATTCTACTACTTGTAATTTTCTCCTTTACTTTGATTCCTTGACATAGGCTGCGGCATACATAGTATACATTGCGACGTGCCAGAAACTATATTGTTTTTTTTTTATTGCCTGCTTAGGAAAGTTAATGAGTGCTTTTTTATATTTTATTTAAGTTCTATGTTTAATTTTATGCTGCTGTTGTATTTATTAAAACCTTTCACTATAATTTGTATTTAGTTTTTTTGCTCTTGAAACGTACGCTAGAAAAATTATTTCTTATCACCACTCAAAAAAATGAATAATTAATTAATTTTTAATTATAGAAGCAGAAAACCTACAAAAAATCAATAGCAGAATGCTAAAATAATTGCATGCATACTAAAACACTTTGAAAGCGCTACGAAAGGTATGAGTGCAGACACATCAGAGATCATACTGTTTCTTGACTTGGGACAAACAACTGGAATCAATGCTGTTGTTGATGAACTTAAAACTAATTTTAAAAGTCATTTTCACCTATACAAAGATAATGTTCATCTGAAAATTGCAATGATGCTCAAACCCCATTTGAAATAAAAAGTTTTAAAAAAACAAACCATAGTATGTTTAAAGAAATTTTATATCAAGTGTACTATCGCTCTCATTTGGAGTATCGATACTCTAGATATAAAATTTGGTTGCTTGTTGTAAATAATCATTTACAACAAGAAAAAGAAGTTGATTTTGTTAAAGACTCTGATCGTGATGGTCAAATCAAAAAAGAAAACAAATAAGCATGGGGATATACAGCTTCTTAGACCAAATGGGTATAGATAAAAATGCTTCACAGAAATGTGAAAACACTGATGGAGGGGAAAAAAGTATAATAGTAAAAATTCTAGAGGAAAACCTCTAAATTTAAAAAGAAAATGGTACAAATAAAAAATATCTAAATAAAATTGTTATTTTTTTAAATTATTACAAATTGATGTTAATTTTCAAATTAACTATTTTGTTGCATTCAGCCCTGTTACTAGAAATTTATTTACAGGTTTATTAGCACACCAGAATTGCCTGTAGACAAAATTATGTTATATTATATTATAGAAAGATTACTGCAAGCAGACACAAGCTATATACAGGTAGGCTGTGCCTTCCTGTAGTTACGGGTCTGGTTGCATTTAATATTTTTAATTTTTAATGCTATTTTTTTGCATTTAATATTTTTAATTTTCATAATCATTTATCAACTATAAATGTTTATTCTTTACTATTTATAAGTTGAATAAGGGTATTCTTTTTTCCTTACTTGATTTAAGATTTAAAATATTAGTTTAAACTTTAAATTGGTTCATAGTTTTAATTTAACATGGACAAAGTTAACTTCTACTTTAGCCTATCAATATTACTAAAATAATTCTACTTTACCCTATCAACATTACCAAATAAATGTCCTTATAAGTGGTGGGATGTTTACAATTACACCAGCTCCAATAAAGACACTAAGAAGTGGGATATTGAAAGGTTCTTAATGAAAAATTTGTGCGCATCTTTTAAGAGTGAACCTCTGTTCAGCACAATGGGACACATATTTTAAGCCAAAAGAAACAGGCTATTGCCTGAGCATGGAGAACAGATTAAGTTTTTAAATTATAATTTGCCTGATTTCTAACAATGGATAATAAATTTAAACGCAATAAACTAATAAGTATAATAAAAATAACTTTCCTCATTTGTAATTACTAAATAACTTAAGTAACTACTAAGTAACTTTATTATACTTTAAGTACAAACTAATGTATACTAAAAATTGTTTATAATGTAATTTTAAAGTTTAAACTTGATTATGTTAACAAGAAGCCAAACTAGTTTTATAATTCACACCCTAATACAAATACCAATTTGCAACTACTAATTAGTCATCTTTTCCCATATAATATTAAACAAGGCAACATTAAATTTGTTCAAACAAGGCATAGCTACATCCTAATATCCTATGATATTGTGTAATTTAAAAAAAATCTTGATGATTTGTTATAGTAAAATACCTTATAAATGCACATAATATACTTATAATTGCAGTACATATATTTTGCAATATGCAGTACATAAGATAATTGCAGTAAAATGTTTAAAAATATTTTTCAGCAATTATTATTATCCCTAGATAGCTAGATCTGCAAGATAGCAAATTGTAAGTGCAAAAACTTTGTAAAATGTAAGTGCAAAAACTTTGGCTTTGATAGAGTGACTTCAGCTGAAGCTGCGGCTTCGGCAAAATCTAAGCTTTGGTAAATCCCTAATTTAAACCAGAGATTTCAAGAATAGTGCCTAGAAAAGGAGTTTATTTACAAACTTTTAATGAGCAATGAGGCTTTTACCTAAATGGTAATGCAAATAAACAAAATTGCAAAACATAAGGCTCTCAAAATCTAAAAATAATTGTTAATTCAGACACCCACCATATGGTGTAGAATAACTTAAATATAAAGATCATTGAACTTTTTCAAAAACAGAAGAAAAAGTTTGAGTTAAGGTGAGTATTGGGCATATTAAAGGTATAATTAAAAGTAATGTGAGTATTAAAAAAATTTAAAGCTGCAGAAGCTACAAATTCATAAATGTGGTTCCTACAAGATGAAACCATAGCTCATACACCTCTTTTGCGCAAAACTTTTAGCAATTAAAAAATGTCAAATTTTTCTGATTTTAACTAGCCACCAAGTTTGGATAATTCAATGGTTCCTCTTTTTTTTTTTTTTAAGGCTACCTAATAAATGTATTCCAATAAGCCAATAACCATTCAATAGCTTAGGGCCAATATCCCAGAAAATCTTTTTAAATAAATATTCAAAATGAATTTATTAAAAACAATAAGAAGCGATATCCAAGAAGATTTTTTTTTAAATAAAAAGAAGAAGACTTCTTATAGTTACGTGACATCATTAAAGTACCACTAAAGCTATTTAAGTACTCAAGTTTAAAGTATTCAATTTTGTTTTTTGTTTTTTTTGTTGTTGTTTTTTGTACACACATTAATTGACTTAATTAGGGAGACATGCAAGGAGTGTACATACATCAATTCAGGGTTTGAGTTAAGGCAGGCAATTTCAATGCAAAATTTAACCTTCACCCATTCCCTGATATATGTACACTCCCTACATGTTCTCCTTATCTAAATCACTTGATCCGTGCACTCATTATATTGCAAAAAAAATTATTGTAAAACATCATTTACAAGGCAAAATGACAAGTGGTAAAATGTCATTTAAAGTAGTAAAATGTAAAAATTGATAAAGTAAAATAATAAATTAATAGCGAAAAAATTAAAAAAAAATACATTAATAGTAAAAAATAATCAGTCTTTCACAGGAAGACGTGCGATCACATGTCTTTATATGACCAGGCAAATTACATTTTGTTATGACAATTTGACCACAGCTATTTCAAAAAACATTTTAAAAACACGCTAAATAAAAAATATTTTTAAAAAGTGAAATAAATTACATCAAAACTTCTTAACAAATGTTTTCTAAATTTGTGAAACGCTTTTAAGTAAAGTAACAATTTACTGATAATGTTTTTTTTTTTTATATAATTGACAGTTGTATATATTTTTTTAATTTATGATATATAAATTGTTTAAGTGTGCATTTCTATAATAAACATTATTAAAAAATTGTTTTGTTTTCATTAACAATGACATTCTACAACAACAAAAGTCTCTTTAACGAATTTTAATATAACAATAATTAAAGTTAATACATTTGAAAAGATGTCCACTTTGTTGAAAAAAAAAAAGCAAGTATTTTAGAAAGCCGTTACAATTAAATAAGTTTGATTTTAAATGCTTTTATATTATCGAAACGCTTTTCAATGGGGTAACAAAACGCTTCTAATGGATTTTTAAAATAAGTGTTAATAAATTGTTGTTTCTTTTATTTATATAATTATATACTTTTTATGAGAAATGTTTATCTTTTGAAACATGTTAAATAAAAATAAAATAAAAAAGTACAAATGTTAAAACAAATGAAAAAAACAGTTAAATGAAATGATTTTTTAATGCGTAAATTAAATTTTAGTTTGATGAGTTTTGTTTTAGTTGGGTTATTTTTTTTTATTTTCTGATTGGTTAAGATTTTTTTGACTTTTTTAATTTTTTTTTAAAATAAATTTAGGTAAGTTTTTGTAACGTATTTTTAAATTTTGGAAATATGTCAAAAGCTGTGATCAAATCATCAAAACAAATTATTTTTTGTGTGGTCATATAAAGACATGCGGCCGCACGTCTTCCTGTGAAAGACTGGATAATAGATTTTACAAAAGCGAAATCTGGTTTAAGGTAGCAATTACAGGGTGAAATAACAATTTCACTAGAAAAAATATCATGATTGATTTTTTTGTTATTTATGTTATAATTATTAGTATTATTATTATTATCAATGTATAAAATAGCAGTTATTTAAAATTTGAGCTTTGATATGTAACATATTAGCAGTGTTGTTTTTTATGTTAATTCACTATTTTGCTATTCATTTTTCAGATTTCATGAGTAAAGCATTATGAGATAAGTAAGGTGAAGAATCAGACATAATTAACTAGATATTGAAGCCTTTAAATCTGTTTTGTCAATATTGAGGTTCAAAGTGTAGTATATTAACAATGGAGAAAGAGTATTGTATAACAGATAGAGTAGTATAGTTTTTTAAGTTAAATTTAGTATTAAATGATTTATGTCAGAGGTGGAGTCTTCAGAATTAAACTAAACCTTGTATTATTTTTGTTCGGCATCAGGTTGGTACAAAGTTTTGAACACAAAGGTTTCACCATAATATCATAGAAACATAACAACATCAAAATCTCACACAACTTAGGTCAGCAGTTAATACAGCTTTGCCCAATACTGACCCTAATTCCGAGTGTATGAGTTGGGCATTCCAAAAGATGCTTTTTTAATGTCTTAAAGTCTAAAATAGTTTTAAATTATTTGCATGGTATATGAATATAGAAATATAGAAAGTATTGTTAATGTTTCAGAGTACTTGATAAGTTTATTGACTTTTTCTTTCAAGTTCCAACAAACTTTACTTTTTCGTATCAGTAAATTAACTTTGAATAATGATCTTTTATTAAAACTAAACTGGCTATTGCATAATAGAAAAAAATTGTTAAAATACACCTAAACATAGCAACTATGGACATAGCAACTATGAACATAGCAACTTTAAACATAGCAACTATGAACATAGCAACTATGATTACTCTAATTTTTTTGATAATACTGAAAAAATTTTATTATCAAAAAGATTTTTTATTTTGAGAAAAATAATTTTTAAAGTTTTTTTACGGTTTTTAAGGTGGAACTTTTTTTGCAATTATTTAATTTTTAGCTCTAACTCAAGTAGTATATTCTATTTAATCCAGACTCAAGTAGTATATTCTATTTAATCCAGACTCAAGTAGTATATTCTATTTAATCCAGACTCAAGTAGTATATTCAATTTAATCCAGACTCAAGTAGTATATTCTATTTAATCCAGACTTAAGTAGTATATTCTATTTAATCCAGACTCAAGTAGTATATTCTATTTTTTTACAGATAATTTTTTAATTTATGCACAAAAAATTCTTCTTAAATTTTTAAAATATAAAGTTAGTCTAAAAATTTAAAAAATTTTTATAAAATAATATGGATGCTTTATTTGATTTATCTTAAACTTACATGAGTAAACTTATTTTTGAGTATGCAAACAAATAATGTTCCTTGTGGTCTAGATGTGGAGTGTTAAAAACCTTGTGGATGCTACACCTTTTCCTTAACTTTTTGTAAAAGGTTGAAGCCAATAAAAAATTTTGTTCTATCAAACCATGAAGTTGAAGTGAAGTCATTAATTACTATTATATACCAATTATATAATTACTATCATTAATTACTATTATATACCAATTATATACTATGATGACGATGATGATGATGATGATGATGATGATGATGATGATGATGATGATGATGATGATGATGATGATGATGATGATGATGATGATAAAGTGACATCATCTTTATTAACAATTATACAGTGATTCCAACTCTTTACTACAAGAACAAATTGCCCAACACCAACATTATTTAGCTTTAGAACATTAGAAATCTCACTAAGAAGATTTTTAGTCGTATTTGCAATTATTAAGCTTCTCTTGAACTTTTTTAATTTTTTAAGCAAACTTGGTTGATATTGTTTGAATACTCTGCTAAATGAAGAAACAAACTGCTGTTAACTTAGCTATTTAATTTGACTAAAAAACTTAAACATTTGTTTTCTTTTATTGTTCTCATTTTAATGGGTGCCTGTCAATATTTTAAGATAGATTTCTCTGATATTTTCCTGATCATCTGAATGTTTTTCCTGATTTATGATAACATTTCTCAAACTCAACTTTATAAAAAACAGACTTTAATTCTTTTAGAAAAACCAGTCACTTTGATTAATTGCCATTTTGAAATAAGTTTGATGATTTTCCCTGATTTTTTAAAAATTCAACCCAATTTCCCTGATTATTCACTGTATTTTTTTCAGACATCTAAACTCCCTGACTTTTTTTTTTTTTCTCTGATTTTCCTGATCTGACAGACAAACTGTTTTGAACAAATGGCTAATTTTATGCTTTTCATCTTTTTTATTCTTCAAAAAAAAATTAAAAAACTGTTAGTCTCTATCCTGCTATCATGATAAAATTAATTCAACTTTAAAATTTCACACACAAAAATAAAAACTTATAAAAGAGTGAAGAAAACAAATAGAGCCAATAGAGAGAAATATTTAAAAAAAAAATATCGAGCACTTTAGTGCTATATCTGTTAACTATTTTTTTAAATATTTGAAAGTATACAATTCAAAATATAACACTTAAATATTTCTTACTTTTGTCATCGTCTTCTGATTCACTACTTTTCTCTGTAAAAAATAAATCAAAAAATTTATCAAAACTGTATTTAAAAACCTATTTCCTTCTAGAATTATTTTTTTACAAATATTTATACATTATCATAAAATATATGCAAATATTTATATTTTAATATTAAACATTATAGATAATTGTTAAACTACATAATTATTAGTATTATATTAATTATCAAAGTAATTCTAATCAATGATTCTAAAAACATTTTTTCTTTTTTAATTAGCAGATAACATACAAAACAATTTAAAAAATTTTAACCGTCAGATTCAGAACTGTCATTTCCAAATGACTCAAGAGTGTCAGAAAGCACAAGAAGTTGATTAAGACTAGCTTCAAGTTGTTGGCTTGAGGCTGAATATTTGTTCATAAACTTTTTCTTACTCTTCAACTCCAATACTTTAGTAGCATTTAAGACTGCCTGAAAATTAAATAAATAAAATTAAATAAAAAAAGATACAAAAATATATTCAAAAAAAATTAATTGTATATCAATAACATATCAATAAAGGTTAATGCTTGACAATCTATAATTAGTCAAGCATTAACTTTTATTTTATTAAAGTTGATGCTTGACAAATTTTAGTTTGTCAACAATTTTTTTTTCTTCTTCTCTCATTTCAATATAGTTTATTATGAACTCTTGCATTCATCATGAATTCTTTATACATTTTGTCGCTGTTATGTGATATGTTTTTAATAGTTACATTTTTTTTTAATCTGTTGTTAATGTTTATTAATTTCTTTATTAATGCTGAACTTATTAGTAGTTTTAGAAGCGCCTACTCCTAAACTCATGCATGTTTGAAACGGAACTCTTAGCAGCTATTGCAACTGAGGTAATGGCAAGAAAAAAATACACTACTTTTTTTATAAGAAAATATGAACAATAGTGTATGTAATTATCTAACTTATGTAAACTAATTATATATAAGTACGTAATGTTAAAACCTATATAAAGCTTTAATGTTTTACATTTACTTTAGTTTTACAACATATTTTAAATTTTGATTTATAGCATTTATCTGCCGTTTTAAAGCCTTTTGTTTATTAAATAGTATTAAAACATTTTTCTAACATATATAACAGAACATATATAAAATTTCATAACATAAATAAAGATGTTATAATATAACAAATGAAAGAGATGATTTTCAAAAAAACCTTAAGTTTGCAAAACATCAAAACACCAAGGAAAATTTGTTTGCACATATGTCATGAGATACTTATGTTATTATTATGCTCAGGTAATTACTAAAGTCTGCGCATTTAACACACATTAAAGAGACAACTTTCTTTCTTAAAGGAAAAATTCTTTACAAACAAACTTTTATTATCTTTAAAATTGTTTAATGGGGTGAGGGTCCTTATAAACTACGAATAGTTTGAAAAAAAATTACGGTCTGAAACTTAATAAGGAAAAAAATTAATAAGCCCATCCTCATTTGTTTTATAGAAGTTTACAATTTTACATTTAGTTATGTACTAAATGTTAAATTTATTAATCGTTAAGTGAAAACGTTAAGTAAATATTTTAAAGATTTTTATTTTCTCCTACTTACTAAAAATTATTGAAATAAAACGACTATATAAAGAATAAGTATAGAAATGGTCATTGTGGACTTACCATTACATTGTATTATATGGACAGCCCTTGGAATTAGGAAAAAAAGGTTGGCAATAAACTGCTGACCTTGCACTGTTAGAGGTTTGCATCAGGTCAGCAAAAAAAATTTGACAGAGGGGTTACCACAAAACATAGAAATAAGGTCAGTAATTTTTTACTGACCTCAAACACTTTAAGATCAGGTCGGCATTGCCGAATGCGGACCCTAATTTCGAAAGCTGTGTGGGGCATGGTAAGTCTATTATTACAAATATTTTTAAGTTTTGTTCCACATTTTTAAACTTTTTATACTGCTTGTAAATAGTTATTTCAATTATGTGTGTGTGTATGTGTGTGTTTGTGCGTGTGTTTGTACTCTGACACTCTAGCGATGGTAATGACACCGCATGAGAATAAACCAATAATATATTATATAAATTAGATGTCTAACTTGCGGGATTTTATTAGACAAAAAATGAAGCCGCTTTTTTTCTGTGATGTGTGGAATAAAAGCTAAAAATGCGAGTCAAAAGTTGTGTGGAATAAAAAATTAAGTAGTGAAGGCAATGCGGATGTTTGGAATGTGTGTGGAACAAAAATTAAAATTCCACGATGTGTGGAATAAAAGTTAAAAATGCAAGTTAAAAGTTCCCAATAAATTAAAGATAATTTTAAAAAATGTTTTAATAATTACAAAATACTTATAAAAGTTTTTTCATGAGTTCATGTTTATTAAAAGTATCATAATTCATAAAAATGCTTCAAAAGCGTCTTTCGTTTCACTTTTCTATTCAAAACTTTAGTCCCTTTAAAATTGAAAATTTAGGAATCATAAATTATTATTTTACAAGTATTCTAATTTCCTCTTAACACTTTCATATAAATAGTATTTATATTTAAATTATATTTACTTCATTTAAGAAAAGAAAAGTTAAATAAAATTAGTTTACAAATTTAATCCGCCATTTGTAAAAAGGGCAGGAGCGGCTTCACTTTTCGGACCGAAGTTAGACATCTAGTTTAAATAATATATCATTAGAATAAACAACAAAGTATAATATTTGTTAATGTTATATAAAACTTATATGAATACCAAAGTTACTTCAGCTGCATGGGCTTTCTGCAATATTTTTAATTTTTATGTTAAAAAAAAGGACGTAAACTTATTTGATATATATATATATATATATATATATATATATATATATATATATATATATATATATATATATATATATATATATATATATATATATATATATATATATATATAAACAATACAATACAAATCGGAAAGATATTTTGTTTATCATTTAAAAACAATTTTTTAGCAATAATTCTTTTAAGCAAATTTAAAGAGAATTTATATTAAAATTCAATTTTGAACTGACTTTCAAGAATTTAGATGACTTGTTTAAAAGTTTGCTAAAATAAAAAATGATTATTCTATGTGAGCATTTAGCTTGAATAAAAAACTACGCATATATTCATTCTAATAAATGGTAACCTCATTTGATATTTTTTCAACCATATCTTGAATTAATTTGGTTTTCATTTGCACCTCAGTGATTTTTTGAGTCAGTCTACTACGAGCTTCATCTATAGGCCTTTTTTTGCTTGCCATGGTTGTTTTAAATATATCTAAAAAATAATATTTGAATTACTTTAATAGTTATGATTATAATAAAACAAAAATTCAATATTGGTGTTTTAAAATTATGAGTAAAACAGCGTAAAAAGTATATATATATATATATATATATATATATATATATATATATATATATATATATATATATATATATATATATATATATATAGTCATTTTATATATATATATATATAGTCATTTTATATATATATATATATAGTCATTTTTATAAGTCATTTTATTCATTATTGCGTCACAATAATACCCCAGGATTGAATAATTTATTTTACAACCAGATGCCCATTCTAGCAGTACCTTGTTTTACAAATCACAAGTAAAACTAAAATAAAGAAGAAAAACCACTAGGAACCACTTATGGTTAGTAGTTCAGTTATTTTAAAATGTATTTCATTTTATAAATTATATTTAAATATTAGACATAAGAGGCTTTCATAGATTCATTAGCAGGGCTAATACATAAAAAGAAGTTACATAAATTTTCTATTACGTAACTTCTTTTTTGTTAGAGGTTAATTAAATTTTTGTTTCTAAGAGTAACCATTGGTTTGTTGTTTTTTAAAACAATTACAGTAGACAAAAAGTAAAATACACATTTGCTGATTTTTTTTTTTTTTTTAATTTTTTTTTTTCAATTTGCCTGGAGAAAAAAAAGAAAAGTTAAAGAATAATGAAAAAAATGATTGCAATCCTAACTTTAACCCTTTGTCACTAGGAATTGACCAGATCCCTGTCTCTAACCCCAACTAAAAATTAGACATTTTCCGAACCCAACTCCAGTCCCGTCTTTAGCAAAATTACAAGATTTAGCAGGAGTTTTAGCAGGGTGTGGTTTTCAATTATATTTACCCCCAGCAGCCCTTTTTTTTAGTAGGATGTTGGACTGTTCACCAAAGTATTCATTTATATGTATTTATGTGTGTGTTTTAACAGAATTATCTACAAAAAAAGATGATAAAATCTACAGACTTCTGCATGGATATTTCAACATGGATATATCAACATCGACATTTAAACTCAAACTAAAGTAGTAACTTAAAAGTAAACATTCAAATAAGCTAAAAAATTTAAGGTAAAATAAATAAGTTTCTTAGATTTTTTTGACGAACACAATAAGATAAGTGTTTAAAAGACATTATTTATACTCTTAATTTTATCCTAGCACCCATCATCATATAAGTTGTCATCAATATAATCTTCATACAAATAAAAAATAAAAAAAAAACATTCAAAACATACAACAGTTGAAAGTGTTGTATAAAGATCTTTTTGTCAAAACAAAACAAAAATGAAAATTCCTCATGGCTATATTTAAAAACAATTTTGCTTTCTTTTTTAAAAAAGTCATTTTTATAAGTAGTTATTTAATATTTCTTCTAAAGGCATAACATGCAGTTTGGTCAAAAAGTCATAAGATTTAAACATACCACTATTTTTTATGAAAAAGCTGGATTTATTTACCATTTTTTAAATTCTATACTTATATTAAAATAGACTTTTTACCAATAATTTACTGTTAAATTGGTAAATGTTAAATTGGTTAATGTTAAATTGGTCAATAATCAAAAATGTTAAATTGGTAAATGTTATTTACCAATTTATGGGTAAAATGATGTCAGTAATTGTTGTTAAACATTGATTCTTCATTTAAAAATTGATGTTTAAAAGTTAATCAATGAATTTTACTTATTTATAAACTTTATATTCTTTCATCCTCTGGGTCTCTCTCTAACCTAATAGTCTTAACTTTATTCCCAAAAGTAGTAGCTTCTTAAAATTTTTGAAGCTCCTGTATTATACAGCTCCTGTATTATACAAATGATCATTTCTTCTGGTTTTTTATAAACAGTGTATATCAACCAGAAGAAATAATCATTTTGTGACATTCAAATCCAGAGTCCTTTTTGTGACTTTGCATCTATAATTAACAAAGCGACAACATTTAGATCAAATTAAATATTGTCATAACGACAGCGTTTAAGTAAATTGAGAAAAGGTGACAGTTGACTAGGACATCTAATGCTTCATGGATGAGGTGAAGGCAACTTATCTAGGATAAAGAAATCTTTAACATAACCCCACCACCACCACCACTACCCTTCACACATAATTTAATACTGGATAAGAGTAAGAGAAGCCTGTAAACCCTTATAATAGTCTTCTTAGTGATTGTATCACAATAAAAATATTCAACTTGAATATTTATAAAAAAGCTGATAATCAAGTTATAAAAATATAACTTGAATATCAGCTTAAAGAAAATTCTAGGTCAGAGTATATTTGTTAATGAAATCAAATAGTTATTTAACTTATTCAATGATATCAAATTATTTAATTAATGATATAAAAGTATTAGAAGATATTAAATTATCAAAGAGAGACTACTTGTTAATAAAAAGTTATATTTTTTAGCTATTAACAATAATGTTGTAAATATGTTCATTAAATCATATACTATACAAAACAAATATTATTTGTTATAACTTAAATGATTTAATAATTGTTCGGTTTGATTTTAACAAATATACTCTAGTTCAGAATACTCAAATACTTCAACTTATATTCAAGTTTTTTTTTTTACAAACAACTTATGAATATGAGAATCTATTACAAAATATACAAAATAAAATCGAGCTCTGCATGCGATGTGTTTTGAAAATTAATCACGTGGCGAGAAGTCTGCAGAAACGCTGGAGAATAAATATCAACAAAAATCAAAGATGGCAAGAGGCAGTGAAAAACAACGATAGCTATGGTTTTAGTAATTCGAGAGAGTAAAGAGATTAGGTGCAGTAGCGGATGCACCGCTTTTTGTTTTTAATATTAACTTTATTTAGATTATTTCGTCCGAGTGCAGTGATGATTCAAATTATGAAAATTACCATAGTGATAATGAGTTAAATGAGTAAAGTTTTAACTTTATTTTAACTACACAGTTTACTTTTTTTAACGGAATTAAGAGCACAACTTACACATTGCAATTTCATCTGATGTAAACTTATTCTTACTGTATAAAATGTACTTATTCTAAAATTTATGTATTCAAATGACAGATCGTTGTCATAATTAATAATTATGACATACGATAAATACAACATAAAATAAAATAAAACATAATTAAATTATGCTTTACTGATAATAATGATGGCAAAGTCTTATCACAAGATGTAATATAATGGCTCGTCGGACCAGGGATAGATCCATAAGGGAGGAGGGAGGCAATAAAAGCAATAACTCACCCCCCCCCCTACCCCAACTTTACATTAAAAAAAAAAAAAATTCTTGGAGTTTCTATAAATTTAACACAGTATGTTGTTTGAAAAAGAAGGAAGTAATTTAAGTGTGTTTAAAAATGATATAAAATTTCAATAAAATTGGAAAATGCAAACTTTCGCCGCTCGAAAATCGCCTCACCTTACTAGATTGTCTGAAACCACCAAACCAAAAAAATCTAAAAAACACTCCCCTCCTTCCTTATTAGATTGTTTAGATCCGCCTCTGCGTCAGGCTTTTTTAAAACGACAATACTTTATTCAATTTTTTTATTTAAAAAAAATATATATTTCCTCTAACTCTTTTGAAACTTAGTTATATTATCAGAAATAATATACTTATAGTTTTCTTAAAACCAAAAAAAAAAAAATTCTCATGCGACGTCATGTCAAGTAGTTTGAGTGAAACCAGCAGTACACAACATAACAAGAAAGAAAAAATCAATAATTAAAATTAAAAACTTCTGTTGAAAAATTTCTAACTTCCCAGACGTTTTAATTGATCCCCGAGCGTCTTTGCTACCTTATGGGCGCTAATGCGTTTTTGCGATCTTAGCTGCAGAGAATCTATAAAATACAAAAATAATATCTACATCTTTAAAAAAATGGAATTGGTAAAAAAAAAATTATGTATCCAATTATACAATTATTGAAATTACATTCCTACAACAGTATAATTTTTTTTTGACAAAATAAATAAAAAATACAGCATGGCTAGGTTATAGATATAGAAATCAATCACTTTTACCTATTATGATAGGAGGAATACTTGGGCTAATACTCCTTTTCCCTCTTTTCCCATCCCGGCTATATAAAGACCAAACTGAGCTGGGTGCCAGGGCCAACAACATATTAGAAAGCTTGCCAGAGAGATTTTGTGATGCAAGTGTGACATTGGACAAAGATACAATCTTTAATTTAAATACATAGGCACAATAACAGTTTAAATTGGAAATAGAAAAAACTAACTGCATACATTTAGCTAAAACTATAGCTTTAAGTAAAGATTATTTTAAATTAAAGTTACCAAGGACTGACGTTCACAATCATTTAGGTCCAGCCAATAAGTCAGGTGACTATCCAGCTTGTCTGCTGTTGTGCTGAATTTTAAAGCTTCCACCGGCGCATTAACAGCAGATTTGGTGTTGCTTAGACCAACCACCATGCCCATTAGGGTTTTTTGGGTGTCCTCAATCCGAATGAGACTGGTGAATATTTCTTGAAACCACGCTACAATAAAAAAATGAAATCATATTAAAGTTAGGGACTACTTCAGTATAAAAATAACAGATTAGGTAAAAAACATTGTGGTTAATGCTAACTAACCACTGTTGTGGTTAATGCTAACTAACCACTGTTGTGGTTAATGCTAACTAACCACTGTTGTGGTTAATGCTAACTAACAAATTATCATAAAAACTTACAACGCATAGCTGTATTTGAAATTGGGAAATCGGATTTCTCAATTTCATTATCGTTCGAACTTGGAGTCTTTTGTCGAGCTTTAAAGCAAGTATGAACTGATGCAGATAATCCAAAATATTCGGATGAAGTTTCAATTAGTGGCAGTGTTGGACGAGGTGAACTTTGAGATAAAAACAAAGAAGAAGGTTGTGAAGATGCTGAATATAATGGTGATGGTGCAGTTGGAAATAAATGAAGAAGTTGCGTATTCAGTGTTGTTGGTGGAGTTGGTGGTGATG